TGGAGAGAGGTGAGGGTCCGAATCTCTGCGGGGAGTTCGTTCCAGAGGGCCGGAGCTGCCAAAGAGAAGGCCTGGAGAGAGGTGAGGGTCCGAATCTCTGCGGGGAGTTCGTTCCAGAGGGCCGGAGCTGCCAAAGAGAAGGCCTGGAGAGAGGTGAGGGTCCGAATCTCTGCGGGGAGTTCGTTCCAGAGGGCCGGAGCTGCCACAGAGAAGGCCTGGAGAGAGGTGAGGGTCCGAATCTCTGCTGGGAGTTCGTTCCAGGGGGCCGGAGCTGCCACAGAGAAGGCCCTCCCCCGGGTAGTAGCCAAGTGGCATTGGCTGGTAGATGGAACCCGGAGGAGGCCAACCCTGTGTGATCTAATGGGTCTTTGGGAGGTAATTGGCAGCAGGCGGTCTCTCAAGTACCCAGGTCCGATACCATGAAGGGAGAATAAATCAATAAAAAATAAGTGTGTATGTGGCTTTCACAAAGGCCAAAGTTTCTAAACAGAAATTTTAAAGTTACGTTTGAATGGCTGGATTAAACTATTACAACAACGCTCTCAAGGGACACGCTGGCTCAGTGGCTAAGATGCTGAGCTTGTCAATCAGAAAGGTCGGCAGTTTGACGGTTCGAATCCCTAGAGCTGCATAACAGGATGAGTTCCTTTCCCGTTAACTTCTCCCAGCTTCTGCCAACCTAGCAGTTTGAAAGCAGGTAAAAAATGCAAGTAGAAAAATAGGGACCACCTTTGGTGGGAAAGTAACAGCGTTCCGTGCGCCTTTAGCGTTTAGTCATGACCACATGACCCCGGAGACGTCTTTGGACAGTGCTGGCTCTTCGGCTTTGAAACGGAGATGAGCAACGCCCCCTAGAGTTGGGAACGACTAGCACATATGTCCGAGGGGAACCTTTACCTACAATTTTCTCAATACAAAGGAACAGTCAATTAATTTGAAGGACGAAAATATGCAGCTGATAGAACCCCAACATTTGGAAGCCTTGAGGTCTAGCCGCTTGCGAAACTCACCCCGGCTGAAGCGCAAGGCCAAAAATGGTGTAACCCTTGGGAGTGAATTCAAACCCTCCACGCAATTCAGCCTATTGTTTTGATCCTCCCCGGGGTGGAAAGAAAGAGCAGGTGTCATTTTAAAACTGGGACGGGAGGGGAATTTCCACTTCTAAAACGGTAGCAGAGAGAGAGAGAGGACTGTTTTAGAAATGAAGATCGAAAGTTGAACATTCGGAAACTCTTGGGTTTCCATTGAGAATGAGACCCAGGTCACAGATGGGCCAGGAGGAAATAGGGCAGTGGATCTGTGAGGACATCTGCAACCCTCCACCCAAAACCTTATAACGCCCGAAAGCTCAGTGGTTAGAGCTGATGCAGAGGCTACATCTGGAAAGTACCAGACCGAGCATATGACAATTAAGTAAAACCAGATAGTTTTGTTTACATGAGAGCCAGTTTGGTCCAGTGGTCAAGGCACAAGGCTAAAATATGGGGGGGGGGGCTGTGAATTTTAGTGCTGCCTTATCCATGAAAGGCAGCTGGGTAACCCTTAGGCTTCACCGGCGTTGCTGTTATGTGGAATATAGGAGGAAGATATGTTGGACATGTTCACCCCCTTGAGTTATTTGTCAAGATAAATATCAAGGTATGATACATATAAAATAAATAATTTTTTTAAAAAAATCCTGCCTTTATTATTTTGATAAATAAGTCAAGGCAACTGACATACCCAATACGGCACCAAAATATAGCATGGACAAGACCGAGTGGCTATTGATGCTCCCTCCTAAGGATGGCCCAGCTATTCCGTCCCTTAGCCTGGGGGGTGAAACCATACGCCCCTCAGAGAGGGTTCGCAATTTGGGAGTCCCCCTGGATCCACAGCTGACGTTAGAACACCATTTGTCGGCTGTGACCAGGGCGGCCTTTGCCCAGGTCCGCCTGGTGCACCAGTTGCGACCCTACCTGGACCGGGAGGCCCTTCGGATAGTCACTCACGCCCTCGTGACCTCAAGACTGGATTACTGTAACGCGCTCTACATGGGGCTGCCCTTGAAGAGTGTCCGAAGACTTCAGCTAGTCCAGAATGCGGCTGCGCCAGCGATCGTGGGTGCACCTAGGTACACCCACATTACACCTATCCTCCGCGAGCTGCACTGGCTACCCATTAGTCTCTGGACTCGCTTCAAGGGCAGCCCCATGTAGAGCGCGTTACAGTAATCCAGTCTTGAGGTCACGAGGGCGTGAGTGACTATCCGAAGGGCCTCCCGGTCCAGGTAGGGTCGCAATTGGTGCACCAGGCGAACCTGGGCAAAGGTCCCCCTGGTCACAGCCGACAAATGATGTTCTAATGTCAGCTGTGGATCCAGGAGGACTCCCAAGTTGCGAACCCTCTCTGAGGGGCGTATGGCTTCACACACCCCCAGGCTAAGAGATGGAGTAGCTGGACCATTTTTGGGAGGGAGCATCAATAGCCACTCAGTCTTGTCGGGATTGAGTGCAAGCTTGTTCGT